CTACAAATCTCAAAGGCTGGGAGATTTCTCTCCTTTTCTTTTGCAATCAGGTTTCCTGCACATTTAAAATTTATTGTTTTATCAAAACATCTAAGCAAACTGTTATCAATGTAAAATTAAACTGATAATTTCTCTTTGTGAGTTCAGTCCATGCCTTCAACATGGTGGTAGTATGACGGAGGACTGATTGAGGGAGGGGCAGAACTCTGAGAACTTGGGCTGGAGTTCTGGGCAGCTTCTGCCCGTAGCTAGAAGGCCAGACCCCCTCATAGCTGTAGTAGGTCTGATGTAGGACTGAGGAACAGGGAGGACATGGGGTGGCGGTGGGGACTGTGAACTCTTCGTCACAGAAACAGAAGGTGAGGATGTAAATTTATAGGGCATAAGATTTTAAGAAGGAGGGGATTCAGGCATGTTCATCCCCCCAAACTTCAGTTATAACATATCTACATTTTGTGTGCAGGTGGGTACGTCCGATTAGTCACCACACCACACACCGCCAGACAAAGAAACTTTTCCTTTTTTCTGTTAAACATTAACTCTTTATTGTTCTTGGTTACGTTTAATTTTTGATACTTACTATTTACTGTGGCTGACATCTATCATTGGCTCCATCAGTGGTTGAGTTGGCATGGTGGGTTCAGGGGGTCAGTGGGAATTGCTGGGAGCCTTTTCGTGACATTTTGTATTGTGAATAGTCTGCCATATCTTTATATAGACCAAAGTGTATGTTCTATATGTTAAGTGTGTTTGCCTTTTTATTATTTTTTACTTTTTATTTAACTAAATAATACCCGAAGATTATCAGCTCCAATTTTCAGTTCTATTAAATTCAAACATCTTTCACCGGTTAACACCAGTTATCAAACCTGTTTTTCTTTTTTAAAGATAGTCTACAAATCTTACTGTATTTTTCTTGTTCTCTATGGCAGGCAGAGTTGCCAGATCCAGCAAATATCTCCAGCTCAACATTTGCTTAAAAAATGTCTACCAGAAGCTAAACTCAAAAATGTTGTGCCACAACTATATTTTTAAATATCCCAAATTTGGCTTGAAAAACGCAAACCTGGCAACCCTGGTGCTGGGTGCAAGTGCTGTACCAAACACTCCACAGCATAACCAATGAAAGGTGAAAGCGTGTGATCCTACATACCCACCTCTTCTGTAGGTGGACCAGACCAGATTGCGTTTGTTTGACACGAACTCCTGAAGTGTGTAAATCTCACATATGGATACAATGGAAATATCGATAATAGACATCTTAAGAGATCCAAAGGGGACAGAAAGGGGGGATGGTCATTTTACAAAGGTGGGTGTTTTTTGTCTTTTTTTTGATCAGGGGAATGTAAAAAAAGAAAAAAAGAAAGGAAAAGGGTACAAATGCATTATATATTACAGATTATATATAATATTAAACAAAGTTCAGTCAAAAAGGCTCCCATTTAGAACAATGATGGTTGAATACAGTCTGGGGAAAAGTGATCTTTATCAAAAACAGCTTTATTTAAAGCCAGGAGGTTTCGTATTGTATCAGATAGAGGTTTGCTTTACCCTCTAAGTAAGCCTCTTCCTAATATCAGTTTTTTTTCTTGCTGATGGCACTCATCCCAGTTCTGTTCTAACTGCTGAAGTCTCTTTGGTCATCTGCAGGTTTGTATGTGAAGGGTTGGCTTTGGTGGAGGCTGTCCAGTTGGGGAAACTGTAAAAGAAATCCTAAAATTATTAAGAATAATTAAATTGCTCAGGAAATAATTATACAAATAACGGAAAGAAATCAGTGATTATGCTGTATAGCACCTGCACTATGCCATGTGAGAGTGATCGAGCTGTTGTTTTTGGCGTGAGATGTCCCTCATTCTTGGCAAGAACAGACCGACCTTTACCAAAAAGCTCACTGGACTTGAGCAGAAAGGGAAGCTGTGGGAAAGTTGTCTGTCTGGGATAAATATTATTGTATTACGTAACATCTTCAGTGTCAAACTCCTACAATGATCGACCCCTAAATTGATTCCTAAACATGAAATCCCAGATTGTTTACTCTGATGTCTAATTCCTGGTGAGTTCATCTGGAATCTCTGTTTACTTTAACATAGATTTTTTACAATGTTTAATAACAGCGCGTTTCTTAGTTCATCTGCCTTTGCAAACCTTAATGCAATAAAGCAATAATGAACAAATAAGCGTCACTGTTGCATCTGTTACAGAGCCAGTAGAGCCAAACTATCCACTGGGATTGGGCATCCGGTCTGATATGACAGTAGTTAGTAATTTGATATTGAAAATTACTGAGTAATTTAGATTAACCTGAAATCAAAATGGACATTTTTTACCGTGGAAGATCGTGGCCCTGGTCATTATTCACCACATCATTACTAAAAAAGACAAAATTCTTGTTTTCTCATAATCTTCCATCTAAATGTAATGACTTTTGCCCACCTCTAAACTGTGTCCTGGTTTTTGATTACATCATTACGCCCCAGCAACTGGGGAAAAATAATATTAACCAATAATGTCATGTTTCACCTCCCCCTCCCTCCACTCCCCACCAATCATGGAGAGGAAACACTGAGCTAGCTCAGAGACTCTAACATAGTGTTTCACCTGGAAATACGTCACAGTACGGAAGGTAGGTGTGGTGTAATTTTACAAAGGTATTTTGGTATTTTCACAGTTCTTTGTGAATTTTATTTAATTGGGCAAATGACATTTGGAGTCTTGTGCTAATTCTAGTCCACACTGTTTGAACTACTGGAAAATAAAATTGGTAAGGGATTTATTGATATAGAAGACAACTGACACCAAGAATTTGATTGATATTTAATTTTTAAAAGACAATAGTTAGAATTGTTCACAGCTGTGGTTGTAGGAACCAGGCGTCTAAAGAGTTTAAAGCAATAGTTCAGGGAAAAACCAAATTAACACAATGTCACTTACCACAGAAGCAGTCAGTCAGCCAAGGCATGTTTGACATCTGACGCGTGCTTCTTTAATCTACAACAGGAGACGCTGGGCTAGCGTTGCTAACAAACACTGCTTTTCGATACATATTTGAAACAAAGTGAGTCATATGTTGGCATGTATTTACGAAAATGAGTTTGGTGACAATCCAGGTTAGCAACATTATCCTATCATCTCCTGTTAAAAACTAAAGAAGCACACGTCAGATATCAAACATGGCTTGGCTGATCGCCTGTACCTGGGCTAGGTTACAAATCATATTAAATTGATTTTTTGCCAAACTATTTTAATACCACTAAAACCTGCCTCAAAAAAAGTTATTGCATGAAATGTTCACACATAGTTGTGAGATAAGTTTTTGGTCAAAAATGTATTCTGAAATACATTCATAGTGAATATGTACATGCAGGGCAAGCCTTGAAAGTTTGCAACCTCCCGTGATAAAATCCTGTAATATTACTCCACTTGGTAAGTTGATACGGTTATTTCTTTTCTGGTGTTCTCTTTGTTGGTGTTTTGCTGAATCTAGATGCTTAAACGTTCCTTTGCACAGTTAAATGGTTCTTTAGATTGATTGAGAATGTCTTGTATATGGCTGTATAGAACCTTTTGAAAGTGGTTCTTTATAGCACCAAAAAGGCTTCTACTATAGTTTAAGATGTCAAGCTTGTAAGAATAGAAGGTTCTATATAAAACCATACACAACACCGAGCAACTGCATGTCCCATTATCATTAAAGAGATCACAATCAGTCCCTTTAACTGGATTTAGTGCAACACAGTATGCCAAATGTTTAATAAAAACACTGCTTTCACAATTTTTGATAGTATTTTATAAAGATGTAGCACTGCTGGCTTCTCTGTTCCAACTTATCAGATGTCTGAAAAAACAAATATTGTGACATTGTGTATGATGGAAATGATTTCAGTATTATATTTTTGCCATATCGCCCACCCCTACATTTAAGCATATATAGAACTCATGGTTCCAAACAGAACCATTTACTTTACTAAAAGAACCCTTGAATAACCATCTTTTTTATACGTCCACTTTATACAGCAGTTAGTTCCAGCCACGCAAGCTGATTGGTTGAGAAGCGTTCTAGCCGTGCTGTTATTTCGCCATAACATCACGGCTTTTTCACAAACACTGTATCACTCCGCTGAGACGCCGTTGCTAAGCAACGACTTTGACAGCTGTAGGAGACGCTCAAGCCATTTAAACGTTTTTACTTCTTACTTTACCACAAACAGAAAATGGACACTTTTAAGATCACATTTGACTGACAGCCGATTTGGTCAGACTCTGAAGATGAGACGACACTAAATTCCCAAACTGTCATCACCACTGAGCAGCTTTTCAGTCGGCAGCTGTGACAGAAGAACAGCTAAACAACCTGGAATCAGCCAGAAATGAACCCAATACCATTCGCCAAACGTGTAGTCTCATTTTCAGAGTCTGGCCAAATCAGACTGAGCCATAGAACTGCCGCAATAAAATACAAAAAAGCTGACCAGTGATGACAGTGTGGGAATTTAGTGTAAGGAGCTGGAGAACGAACTGCAGGCTGTGCAGCGAGTGGGCGGAGCTCGTTACTCTGACGTGGCAACAAGCTGCTTGTTAAGGAACTATAATTTGGGGGAAGGAACTGCGAACATTAAAACATATTGAACGCCGCCTTCACGGCCCAGTTTATTTATTTATTTATTACTTTATTTATTTAACTGTTGTATAAAAGCAATAGAACACTCGAGATCGTGTGTTATCGCGAATAACGTCACGGCTGTGATTTGGTCGCAGGCACCATCCGAAGGCGTAGGTCTATATAGAACCATTATTTCGCGATACCCCGGGACCCAGAAGGATAATATGATGTGTTTATATGATGTGTGTGTGTGTGTGTGTGTGTGTGTGTGTGTGTGTGTGTGTGTGTGTGTATTTCGCGAAAACACACTCTCTCTCGTGTTCTATTGCTTAAGTATTTAGCCGCCTCACTGTCAGAACTCATGGACTGCAATGACCACAATTCCGCGCGCAGGATTATTTCCTCAAAGCACTGTGGGAAAGAGAAGGCTGCAGGAGGCCATTTTATCTCCCGATGTTGGCGACGGAAGACGCGGGAAGTCACCGTTTCGTTCAGCTGCTAGCTTTTCGTTCTTCAGAGTGAATTTCGGCAGTAGGTTGCATTGTTCAGCTGGTAAGTTAACACAGTTTTCTTTCTGCGTTTTACTTTCGTTGGAACGTCTTTCTTTTTTCGTGCCACCTTCGAACAACGGGCTCCCCGGCAGCGTCTCCATTTTGATGCCGCTAATGTTCGCCAGCGACACCGAAGCGAACCGCGAATAACTGTTCTAATTTCGCAGAAAGTGATTTATCTCGCATGATAAAACCGAGTTTCTATCTCTGTTTTCTTTCTGCTGAAGTTGGCTGCAGGAGCCAGAATGTAACTGCTGCACCATTTAAGGTGGAACAGGAAATCCGAATAAGAAGCCAATTTAAGCTTCGTTGGCTCCGCACATCTCGGTCTTCTAACGACGTTTCAGTCGCAGAAAACAACCGTAAGCTCAAGGACAAGCTGTTGTTTTGAAGTGGACACCACTATAAACATAGAAGCAGAAGATTAACGTTAGTCGATTAAAACCGTAGCGGTTAAAAAGCACTAAGGTTGCAAGTTCGTCGCCACGACAGCAGTTAACCTGAATCACACGTAGCTTAACGTTAAGTTAACGCAAAGGCTTCAGCCTTTAGAGAGAGACCTCCTATTCAGAGCCTCCAAACTATTAAAATTTAATAGTATTGCACATCCCTTTTACCATTAAAATCATTAGCAACAACAGTGAACTAGCGTTATATCATATAGAATCAGAAGTGAAAGGAGAATTCCACCGATTTTTCAAAGTTTTTGCGTAATTCCATCGTTAAGATGTAAAGGAAATCATTGAGTGGTATGACGTGAAATGGTTCATTGTAGAGACGGATTTCTTTACAGAGGTGGTGATAAAACCTAGGATTTGTCATGTCTACAGCACATAAATGGCCATTTTGTCCTATCCAAGATTACAGACTACACGTGTCTCCCGAGTCTCTGAATAACACATCTTAAACGTTTTAATAATGTAGAAAATTTGGTGGAGTACCCCTTTTATTTTGGTAGTTGGCATTTAAAAAGCCAATCAATCTCATGCACAGTTACACACACTAAAACACAATGAAAGGCAGTCAGAGAAAGACAGCAAAGGTGTGTTCTGCAGTCAGCTGGCAAAAAAAGTCTCATAGTATGATCTGCCGAGTGAGATCAAGGAGCAAAATGTATATGGGTAAAACTGCTACACTCCTTTTTAGTATCCTAGCTTTGTGGCTGTAGCTATATCTCCAAAATGCAGAGGAAAAATTATTTCATATGAAACCTATACCTATTATGGCCTGCGATGGACTGGCGACCTGTCCAGGGTGTATCCTGCCTTCCGCCCAATGACAGCTGGGATAGGCTCCAGCACCCCACCGCGACCCAGAAGGATAAGCGGTTTAGAAGATGTATGTATTTAAATGGTTAAGATTTCAAAGTGGTGTGCTGTGAAATGCTCGCTTCTAGAGAAACTGGTCAGAATTGTTCACAGTGGTGATAGGAACTGGACGTCTGAAGAGTTTCAATACCTCTGAAAGCTCCAGAACGCACGATGAAGGTTCACTGATGGTTTTGCATGGTAAATGCAATGGCTATATTTGTGTTTTAGACATCAAAACACCTGGTTTCAATCACCACCTCTTTAGAGAAGTCAGAGTTGTTAAGTCTCTCTTCAGTGCGCCATTTCACACCAAACCAGTCTGAATGACTTTGTTTTACGTCTCAAAGGTTGAACTATGCAGACATTTTGAAAAATCTGTGGAATTCATCTTTAGCCTGGTTAGTCAGTGAAAAGTAGGATTGTCTTCTCAAAGGAAGTTACATTGTGCCCACAGCAGTTCAGTCTACACGTGTAATTAACCCCAATTTAAAATTCTCGATTTTACAGAGGACGGTGCAGTAGAGGTGTTATAGTTAGACAATTTCATAATAAAGTCATCTAGGCAAAGCATGGCTGTACAAACTGACCAATTTTAAAAAAATCTTGTGAAATAAAAAAAAATATATATATATCTAATGTGTTACAGGGGGAGTTGAGAGGGAGGAAATAGAAAGTGAACCACAATGAATGTGGATCATACACCATGACAAGCCAACTGTGCCGCTGGAGTTAATAGAGAGACCTTAGCACAGACTAGATTCTCATTGTCTGCTTATTAATAGTACAGAGCAAAGGGTAACTGAACTGAGGTTTGAGTTTGCTTAGTTACTTTTCCTATTTGGTGAAAATAAATGTCATTTTGGTAGTGTGTTCTGATTGCTGTAGAGTCAACAGGGGCATAGTTTTGTTTGCTGCAGTCTTTAATGGTACCTGTCTCTGTAGTCAGAAAGGCTTTAAACCTATATGTATGCATTCCTGTCACTAAAAATACTTGTCAAAGTCAGTAAAGCTCAGACCTCTTTTCTAAACAGCTTTGATGATCGCTGATAATATGGTACCCTATGTACTAAATGTGGTGATACTGCCGGGTAACAGCTCTGTCTTGAGTTTCAAACTTATTCAGTGTTTATAAGTAGCAGCCTGACTCATTTATGAAAGACGGCGTCTCTCTTATCGACACTGTTTCCTTGTGGTTGCATCATACAGCTGCCTAGGCTACTTTCACTGAAGCACAGGTTCTTACTTCATGTTGATTTTGCAAGAGACAGAGGTGCTAAATCCAGTTTCCGGTCCTGGAATTTTTTAATTGCTGGAAGATACGACGCTAGATGGCTAATCAGTTACATGAACAGTTCATTTAACTACAGTTTATGACAAAATCCAGGACAGGTAGCAGGATTTAAAGAGTCTGATCTAGACTGGTTTAAAATATGAAGTACTAGTTGTAATATTATCTTATGTTGAATGTACAGTTGCAAATTTAGGAACTCATTATTGCCGTCTTTCTAAAACAGTCAAATGTCACTGTTTTAGCAAACTGATGTAAGTGCCAGTAATGACTGTGAGTCTCTAGTCTAATCCACAAAGTGTTGGTGTGGCAGTGGGTCTCATTCCAACCAAACAAGAGCGTATTTCATATAACTAATCAGTTGTTTGAATACTGAGACCAATTGATTAAACTGATGGAATCAGGTGTGCTTCTGTCTGGTCGTAATAAAAATAATCCTGCAGCCACAGCATCCCCTTGTGGACACGATTGGGACCTTTACCTCATAGCTGTGACAGGAAAGGAAAATAATGCAGTCATGTGCCCTAGAGAGTGCTATACTGTAAGGTGTGCTGCAGTTGTATGCACAAAGCCAAAGGGGATTGGCTCCTTAGAGTTGGCACATAACTTATATTTGCTCACCTCTGTTTTATCACCAGGTGTCTTATTAGGCGAGGCAGAAATGGGTGCCGATAAGCGGTGAGTGAGTTCTTTGTGTCTTGCTCAGCCATCTACACAGCGCACTTAAACTTAAATGTCACTGTTTTAGTGACTGATTGGATTTGGTTGTTTTTATCAGGGTTAGCCGTACGGAACGCAGTGGCAGGTACGGCTCAGAGCAATCTCGCGATGACGACCGTAGAGACAGGCGAGATCGAGACGATCGTGGATATGACTCTCACCGCTGGAGTGATGACCGCCGTAGCGACCGCTATGATGGAGACAGAGGGGATCGTTGCGATCGATACTGGAGTCGGGACAGTCCTGAGGTGTGTGCTTATTATTGTATACATGGGCTCTGCTTTGTGAAGCAAATATTAATATAGTTTAAAAAACAAAAAAAGTTTTTTCAGAGAAGGTTTGATTATATTCCAATGTTTCTCACTCCTATTTTACAGAGAGGAAGGAAACGCCGTAGTAGTGATGGATCTGATGAAGGGCACCACTCGGATGGTGATTACTCTGAGCACGACTACAGAGGTGACCCAGCTGATGAGAAAGAGAGCAAAACCATCATGCTTCGGGGTCTTCCTGTCAACACCACAGAGGCAGATGTGAGTACTGAGACATTCCCCGTCCCTGTGAAGTATATCTCGGTGACCTTGCTTGTATTGTTAGGTTTTAACCCTTATGGTCCTTTTTGTTGTTCTCAGATTCGAACAGCAATAGACCAGTTGGAGGGGCCGCAGCCGATGGATGTGCGGCTGATGAAAAAGAGAACAGGTGAGACTGGTGTACCATGGATCCTTCCTTTCCCAAACCTGTGACCACTGGGCCAACCTGCTTCTGCTCCAATGACTTTTGCCATAGCAACATTTTATCCAGGCTTTCTCAGAGCCTTGTGTGAGTTTCATTCAGTTGATTTAAGCAGATTGTTTTGCACATCATAAGGAAGTACTGAGGTAAGTCTGTGTTCATGGTGTCAGAATTTATATGGTCCAAGTTCTGACACGATAAGTTACTTATCACCAGTTACCCACATGTTGCTAAAGATGGAAATATGTTAGAAGTAGGCTCACTGCTGGCAAAAAGCCAGCCACATTAAAGTAACATTTTGATTAGTTTCTGTTTGTGTTAAGATGCATAGAAGATCTAGAATTAAATTAATGCCAATGTTTGTGCCAGTGTTCGCTTAAATTATTGATGCAGTCAGTTCTAGATTCTATTTTCAAGCTTTAAATGTGATTTTCAGATTTTTCTTGCTATGGCAAAAGATTTTTCTGGCACCCTCCCAATCATTTGACCACTCTCGGTTGCTGGGGGGTCACGAAGCAGTTTGTGACAGAGTTTGAATGTTATACCACTGAACCATTAAGACTAACACGCCTCCCGTCTGTATATCTGAATGCCTCTCTAGGTATAAGCCGAGGTTTCGCCTTCGTGGAGTTTTATCACTTGCAAGATGCTACCCGATGGATGGAGACCAATCAGGTTGCTTCCTAATCACCAAGTCTAGTCTTTACCCTGGGGAATGATGCAATTTGACTAGAAAAAGAACAAAAATTGCGACCCCAGAAAACAAAATGGACATTATTGGACCATTCCCCTCCATTTTTCGAAGGCATGGTGTGATTTTTAAAAGAGGGGCATTTTATGGACTTTTTAAACAAGATAAGTTTGGGAAACAGGGTTATTGTTTTTGACATAATTTTGTCTGTACTTGAATGTAGAAACTGTTTTAGTATATAAGTAAAATACTTTAAAATGTCCATAAATGAATGACTGTAGTAAAGTTAAATGTTTTAAGTTTGTAATGCTGAAGAATGACACCTTTACATAGATTTGCAACAAAAGGGCAGAACTTTACATTAACTTACAATACAAAACAATAATAGTTTGCACAAATAGATTTCAGTTTAAATTAGTTTTAAAAATTTAGGAATGTTTTAGTCATAGATGTTTACAAAGGCCATTAAAAAGTAGGCAGTAAGGCAATATTTCTAGAGGAATAAACGATAAAAGTTTTACCTAATATCCAAGCCAATTCTTGGACTGAAGGGAATGTTTTAGCACTTTGATTATTGAATGAGGAGGAATTTTAAGTTCCTTAATGCTGAAAGACTTTGAGCATTTACAATGCGTTGTGTGGAGTCTGTACCTCGTCCCAAGGCCCTGAAGCTCTCTCTACTTTTTACACTCTGCTCCGGCCCCATCCGGATGCTCGGGTCCCAAACAGCACGAACACACCCACCCACCCACTGACACACGTACATTTTGAGTCCTCCTGGGCGATCCTCCCCCAAACCGTCGTGGCTATAGTGGTTGTTCATGGGCTGACATCATTAATTATATGGAGAAGCTGAAATAACCCTAGATTTGTGTTCCTCTTGCAGAAGCTGCTCACCATCCAGGGCAAGAGTGTTGCCATGCACTACAGCAACACCCGGCACAAGTTTGAAGACTGGCTCTGCAACTCGGTACGTTATAAAGCAGTCCCTCATTCAAAAGTCAAATCTGTTTGAATCACTTCTGTGAACATTTAAGGTGCTGATCATACATAGGCTTGTTAAATCCAGCTTAAGTGTTCAGTCAATATGTGACTCTTGGTCTACGTTTTGTTCTTTTGTCTCCCGTGTGACAGCAACATAACACAGCTCTAGCAGTCTTTTCATTAAGCTGCACAAGAACTTGTAGGCTGAAAAAATTGAGGTTAAACTTAGGCTATTTATGTAGTTCTTTAGTGCGTAAAATTGACAGAAGTCTTATATGGGTAGTAGTCTTTTCACCAAGCAGTAGTCTTCACCAAGTGTGCTTGTCACCTGATGCGCTATAGTAGAGGTTTAAATTAAAACCCTATGACCGGTTGCTTGCAGTGCGGCCTGTACAATTTCCGGAGGAGGCTGAAGTGCTTCAGGTGCGGCGCAGCCAAAGCAGGTAAGTAGCTCCTCAACCTGGAAGCTGCTGCCTGCACCCATTTGTAGTCAGGCTCCTTTTTTCATCAGACAAAGGGATGAAAGTATGTATCTAGGCCAAACATACGGGCAGTAGTTCTCTGTTTAATAGCAGATTCTTTTAGTCTTGTCATCTGGCTTTGGCTGAGAGGATGGGTGGAGGTGGTGGGGGTTGGTCTGATTCCCAGAACCACTATGTCTGTTCAGCTTAGTCCTGATGTGCTTCAGGATGCTGATGGGACACTGATATGTGTTTTGTCCACAGACTCAGAAACTACCAGCACTACTGGAGGTACAGACACCCAGCCCAGTGGAGATTACTATGGAGACAGTAAGGATTCATCACACTTTTTATAATGCCGAAACCATAAATGTTATTGTGTTATTATAGGGGATGTTATTGTCTACTGTGGATACAGCTGTATGGCAGTATGCAAATCTTCATCAGTTAATACATGTGCATATTTGTCACAGCAATCATCCTGAGGAACATCGCCCCGCTGTCCACTGTTGAGGGCATAATGACAGCCTTGGCACCCTATGCTAACCTGTCAGCTGGAAACATCCGTCTCATCAAAGACAAACAGACTGGCCAGAACAGAGGTTTCGCCTTCGTCCAGCTCTCCTCTCCGCTGGTACGTAATCATTACTTTGTCATTCTTTTGTGCAGCAGGTTACGGTAGGCTGCAGAGATCCTTAGCTTTGCATTATTTAGCGAATGACAATACATTTTAACTCTATCCCAAAACAAGTGACAATTGATTTTTCTGTGTCTGTTGATTTTAATGTTTAGTTTTCATTGATAGACGGTTGTCAAAGAAAACGGTTTGATCATTAGGAACACTGTCCGCTTTTGTTTTTTTCTTTCAATGGAAAAATGACAGTTGGTGTCACAAATTTGCTCGTTCTTTAGACTGGCAGATCTACAGTTACAATCTGTTTCATTTATTATGTGCCTGACAAACCAACAAGCTAGTTTTAGGTTGTACGAAGATCACCAGGATTTCATGGCCATTTTTTGTGTTGTGGACAAAAATGCTTGATCTTTGCATTTTTCAAAATTTGCAATATATTTAATGTTGTTCCAGGTGTGATGGATAGAAATTTGTGAACATTTATTCTGGTATTTTATTACTTTGTTTTTAATTTAGTTAGTTAGTTAGTTAGTTAGTAAAAGCATCCAGCATCTGTATTGCTATGAAAGGCTCAGTCACAGCACAGAGAGCAGGCAGATGCTTGCAAAAGACAGAAGACATTCATGCAGACATCCTGATAGTCAATCAAAATGGAGCTGAAATCACAATAATTAAGGCCAGCGTAGCTGTCAGTTGCTCTCTAGTTATGGGCGGAGCAGCTGAAACGGTTGCCAAGCTCGTAGTATAGAAGCTGCATACTTCATCTTGAAACCACTCTACAGATTCACATGTTTAGTGCCAAAAATAACACAAACATTGTGAGCTCTGGTAAATACTGGTTTGTGATTTTTCATGGTTTGAACATTTTCACAAGAGTGTTATATAAAGGATTTTCACCAGAAATGCAATAACACTTGCTGTTGGTTTTCTAGGAGGCGTCTCAGCTCCTGACCATCCTCCAGGGTCTTCAGCCTCCGCTCAAGCTGGATGGGAAGACCATTGGAGTTGACTATGCCAAGAGTGCTCGAAAGTACGTGCTCTCTCTCACAGCCGTTACGGAAGTTCACAGGGTCGGTTATTTCATATTAACTGAAGAGGTTTCAGATTAATAATGGTTTTCCTGCTTCCCTCAGGGACCTGCTATTGCCAGATGGGAACCGCATCAGTGCTTTCTCAGTGGCCAGTACTGCTATAGCTGCTGCCCAGTGGTCCTCTAGCCAGGTTAATATTCAGTTTGCGGTGTTTTTCACAATTCACTCACTTTCTTTATACCTTAAGTATGTCCCAATACCCATGTTAACTCTGTGTGTCTTGTTAGCCGCTGCAAAGTGTGGAACCTGCATCCGACTACAGCTGTGTGCAGCAAGGCTATGTGCCTTTTTCACAGGTTAGCAGATGACACCTCAGTTTTGTCTGATGGAGATTAATGTTGACAGGAATGCAATCAGAAGCCAATTGACTTTTTTTTTTTTTATTGATGTTATTTTTTTTTATTTTTGTTTTGTTCCCCTCCCGTGGTGTAGGAATATCAGGCCCATTATCAGCAGCTGCAGGCTGGAGCAGCGGACCCATCCCAGGCCAACGGCATACTTGGAGGTAATATAATTATTTATATCTACAGTGGCATGAAATGGTTATAAAAAATGAGTGATTTTAAGGATATGTTGGTTTCTAGTTAAATTAGCACTAGATTAAATGATCCCTTTAAAGAAGCATTAATGATTTGCAATGCTAGTCATAGGCTAGACTATGTCCTATGCTTGTCTTGTTTCAGCACTTTTTAAAAAAGTAAATTAAGGCTAATAATTGACTTAAGCTAGAGGAGCACAATTGAACATACAACCTATTACAGTAACACTTGACTTACTCAAATCATTAGTGGTCATCCACAACCTTTGAGGCTTTGTAGGGGATTCTAGAAATAAGTAATGCACCTTTTTCTCCTTTGTGCAAGTTTGTGTTGTCTAGTAACCAGTCCAGTGTCAAGTCTAATTCTGTCTGCTTGTGTGTAGCTGCTCCAGGAGTGAAGGTGCTCCCCACTGCTGCAGGTGTGGTCATCTCTCAGGGTGCTCAGGTTTATCAGCCACAAATCGCCAGCCAGCCAGCCACACAGGTGAGAGGTCCTCAGAATCACCAAGCTCCTTTTCATTTTATGCTTTTGTGCTCTTGGTTTTCAACGTACGTCCTTTTTTTAAGACTTTGCAGACGATACCATCTCCAACCATCACAGCAGCTGCCACCATCTCTGCCCCAGCGACCTCTTCAGTCATCACAGCAGCCCCCACGACAGCCAGTGCTGCACCTTCCACAACAGCTCCTTCTGAGGGTGCTAAAGCTGGTAAGAGCTAAGTATTTGGTGCTTGAAGCCAGTGAACGCAATAATCAGTATAAAGTTGTGGAGGAAGCTTGTTTTGTTTATTTATTTTTCTTTTTCTTTTCTCACTAGCTGTCCCAGACACTTCTACCTACCAGTATGATGAAGCGTCTGGCTACTACTATGACCCTCAAACCGGTCTCTATTATGACCCCAACACACAAGTAGGTCACCAGTGGGGCCAGCCATACTCAAAGCTGTTTTTAAAATTTCAGCAGTATGATTTTAAAAATAGATAACTTGTTGTGGAGCTTCTGCATGTCCAATAAAACCCAGGCGATGTGGGTTTGCTGTAGTAAAAACTTTGTCTGTATTGTGTGTTGCAGTATTACTACAACTCGTACACACAGCAGTACCTGTATTGGGACAGTGAAAAGCAGGCATATGTACCTGCAGCTGACTCCAGTGCTGGAGCGCAGACAGCTTCAGCCTCTGCCTCCACCCCAGCCAAAGAGGGCAAAGAAAAAAAGGAAAAGCCAAAGAGCAAAACCGCCCAACAGGTTAGGTTCTGTGTTTTGTCTGTTTAGCAAGAGTGGAAGTGGCTTCTGATGTGCAGCGTATGAGGTGTGCCAAGTTACTTTTTGTGTGTGTGTGTGTGTGTGTGTGTGTGTGTGTGTGTGTGTGTGTGTACGTACGTACAGCTAAACCTGCCATTAAATATGACGCTGTCTTTGTGTGTCAGATTGCCAAGGACATGGAGCGCTGGGCAAAGAGCCTGAACAAGCAGAAGGAGAACTTTAAGAGCAGCTTCCAGCCCATCAGCCAGGAAGAGAGGAAAGAGGCTGCAGCAGCAGATGCTGGCTACATTCTGTTTGAGAAAAAGGTACCTTCCAGCTGAATATCTGGATCTAGGATTAGTTATGAGTATGTGATGTGAAATCAGCGCCACGTGTTTGCATATGTGCATTGAATTTTCTTTTATATTTAGCAGGCAAGTGGTTTGGAGAGACTTGTATCCGAGGCAGCGAAGGCAACAGAAGAGGAAAACTCGTCCTCAAAGGTTTGCTGCTGCAGCTTTTTTGTTTATCTACATATAAACAAAATACGCATGTAACTGCCACGTTTTAAACTCAAGCCCATGTTAATTACCTCTCTGATGTCCTGCAGGTGGGTCTGGTGGCAGCCTACAGCGGCGACAGTGAGCCTGAGGAAGCCCCTGAAGGTGAGGAGAGGGAGGACAAGCTGACAGATTGGAAAAAGATGGCCTGCCTGCTCTGCAGGAGGCAGTTCCCTAACAAAGAAGCCCTGATCCGTCATCAGCAGTTGTCAGACCTGCACAAGGTACTCTTCTTCACTTTGGATTGAGCTTAGAGCTCCCAAGCAAGGAACACATGGCTCATGTGACTCTTCCCATTTTTCAGCAAAACCTGGAAGTTCACAGAAGATCCAAGTTGAGTGAAGCAGAACTGGAGGAGCTGGAGAGAAAGGAGACTGAGGTTTGGAGTTTAACTGTACATGCCAATAACTTTTCCTTCTCACTGTTATGCATGCTTGTGTGTATTAAATATAAACCTTTCTGTCTTTACCTCTGAGCAGATGAAGTACAGGGACAGGGCAGCTGAAAGGAGGGAGAAATACGGCATTCCCGAGCCTCCTGCACCCAAGAAGAGGAAGTTCACACAGCCTGCGCCAGTAGTGTAAGTTAATCTGCGCTTGACTTTGCAGTGTTATTTATAGTGACTTGTTCCAAAAAATGTTTTTTGCTCTTTCATTTGTCTTTGTCATGGATGGAAACTTGACTTTTAATGAAGTGATGCTTTCTTTGCAGGAATTACGAGCAGCCCACTAAAGATGGACTGAACAGTGACAACATTGGCAACAAAATGCTCCAGGCTATGGGCTGGAAGGAGGGCAAAGGCCTTGGCAGAAATCAGCAAGGCATTACAGCGCCTATTGAGGTGAGCTTGGGTTCTTAACCTTATACTCTACTCTGTAGTTCCCATGTGTCAAACACAAGGCCCATGGGCCAAGTCAGGCCCGTGGCACAATCGTATTCGGCCCGCAAAATTATTTTAATTTTCTCTTAATATTAGCTAATTTCACCATGAACTGTGCTACAGTCCCCAGCATGCACTACAACAATGTTGTCTAGTTCAAGGGGGGGAAAAATTGCTGTACATAGCTAATGTAGTCTATTTTATATGAAACTATTTTTAATTGTTTTTTTGGCATATTTTGAACAAACAGTGGCCAGTTGGGGTCATGGCAAAATGTTAAGTAAAAATAAAACGAACACAGCTGGCCCAAGGATTTTTGGAGATTTTTTTTAATATGTCCCTTTTAGTGGTAGTTTGACACCCCTGCTGTAGGTGAAGGATTGCCATATTTCTGCTCATATTTATTTCAGTAGCATTAGTCTTTTGTGAAGAAATTACTGTACAATAGCTCTTTTGACTGAAATGATAATCTAATCTATTTGTCTGACTTTGTCTGCAGGCCCAGTTGAGAATGAAGGGCGCAGGTCTGGGTACCAAGGGGAGTAATTATACTCTGTCACCGTCTGACACCTACAAGGACGCAGTCCGAAAAGCCATGTTTGCCCGCTTCACTGAAATTGAATAAGCTGTTGTGCGGTCTTCGAGTGAGCAGAACCTTGTGTTGCTCTTGCAGCTTTGTCTCCGTCGCTGAAGAATGAACTGTGACTCATAAGCAGAAGAAAACGGTTTAGATGGAGGAGTTGTTGAGTTAAACTGTGTATATATGTGTACAGAGTGTGTCCTGGAGAAATGTGAAATTTGTGTACATGTAGGGAGAGCGTTGGACTTTTTCCCCCTTCCTCGTCCAAGCATGGTCAGAAAACTGTAAAGTTTGTACAATATCACTTTTGTACATAAGAGAATAAATGATGTCAAAGTATTGTATGATGGAGTGTTTGTATTATTCTGTGTTCAGAGATGTTCAAAGCAGTTTTACTTTGCTTTTGTATTTGTTCAAAAAAAAATCTGAATCTTTTAATATTCAGAAGCTAATTTCCCCAGAATATAAAATAGAGAAATTTGTGCACTTTACAGTATTTTGTAAATGTATGAGTATCTAAGCATACTTGATAGGTATAACATTCTCTTCAGACATATAGTGATCTTAACTCTTCCAAACGCATGTTAAGCCCTCAGTGAGCCCTAATTTCATTGGCAAGTGGAATGCCGGAGTGCTGTTTTTCAGTCTTGCTCTGCCTTAGTGAGTTGGGAGAGCTGTGAACGGTCACCAGCTCTGAAGAAACGGGCAAGGTTGCAACTTTAATTTCATGTAAGTTTTTATTTTTTTATATACTTCATGTCTGTGTTGCTAGATATGATGCGTTACCTCTGTTCCTGCTTCAGCCAAGTGTTAAATAACTCTTGTTCACATGTTTACTTTGTCACAGTTTGTTTGTGGCTAATGGAGTAGAATGAAGGACTGGATGGTTTCCAGTGTTTTCAGAGCAGAGGAAACGCCCACAACCCATAATGGCAACACTAGTTACAAGTGGTTCTTATTCAGGTTGCATCATGTGAAAGTAATGAGGAAACCTTGCTATTCATGCTCCTCTTATTTAGTTGTTAATGTTTACTTGGATGAGGATGACACAAGGAAAGTATATGGAAATAAACAGCATTTTAGCTTTAGGACTTTGATCACCAGATAGATGACCATGCACAAATGACCTCAAAAAGTACTCCTCTCTTCTGGTGGAAAGTCTCTGTTTACATGCTCACTGCAAGTAATCTGATCCCAAATTATGCGCATGCGTAGAGAAACACTTAGTATAGACGTTACCATGACAATGAGTGTCACGTGAGTCCAGTCAGAGTGAGACGAGCAGCAGTGAGCAGTGCTTGTGTTTTTGATCACTGTAAAATGATGTCAGACTCAGGAAAACGTCCTTATTAAAGAAGGCCGAGAGGAAGACGTCGTGTTCTGAGACACATAAGCTGGACGTTCGTCCCACCGCCGTCTTTTAAAGATCAGAGTATAAACTTCGTCTCCTCTGCTGACCAGTTTCTGCTCCGCCATGTTGAATGTTATAAACTTGGGCTATGGCGCGATGCACATGATCAGAACTTTCCGATTGGGAATATAATCAGATTCAGGCGTTTACATGGATATTATTCTTATATTTAACGGATTATTTACAGGATTACCCACCTCGTTCAATCGGATAGAAATTGTTTTACGGATGGCCTCGATCAGACTAGTCTATTCTGATTGAGGTGTTTACATGGACGTACTCTGTTCCAATTGAGCTATTAATTGGATTATTAATGGATTATTAGGCTGCATGTAAACGTGGCTACTGTTCAGTACTGGCAGTGTCCACTCTTTGCCTTTATTACAGCTTCCATTTTTTCAGGAGACGTGCTTTCAGTTTTCAGATAAATCCGCAGGAATGTTTTTCCACACCGCCAAAAGTTCAGTCTTTGACATTGGTCAGTGCGTTTACATGCACTTAATAATCCAATGACTGCAGAAAATCAGATTTTGTCAGTAATCCGATCAACATGTTTATATGCACTTGAGTAATCAGATTTCTGATTTACAACCAGCCAATAAACTCACAGAAGACGACGTGACGTAAATGTACCGTAAAACTCAAACGTCATGCTGCGGCTTTTTTTTTAAATTATTATCTGAAAATATGAACATACATCATCTAGAAGATAAATATTTAAATCCTTGATTTCATCGATAATGTAGTCCGTTTCAGCTTCGCGCCAAACGTTTTGCTGCATCTCGCCGCAACGCTGCTCGCTTATTTTCTGGTGCGGCAGTCTGCTTTGCACATGCGCAGACTCAGAAATCCGTCTTTTTACAGTGGAAGGATGGAGAGAAACAGTTTATTATTATTATTTATTTATTTATTTTTTATCTGATACAAGTAAAGCTTGATTTTTTTTTTCCTCTCTCTCAAAGATAAAAGCTTTAAGTGCTGTTTATCTGAAGACAGTTTTGGTGGTGGACTAGGCCTTGCAGGGCTGATAGGAGTCCCGTTTTCTCATTTCTACCTTTTAAACTTTTCAATTCCTTGAGACCACCAGTGGTTCCAAAACGCACATTGTCATATTCTTCATAACTTGTATATTTCATAAGCTACATTCAAAAGGTATAAACAGATGGCGTCTCTTCAGTGATCTGCTCTGTAAACATTATTTTTATAAAATAATACAAAGAGCGTCTAAGATTTCTGGCTTTCAGCAGTAAATTGGAAGTTTATAGCAATATGTTTATGATCATAAAACATTCTGTTAATTTGAGGGGAGCTTTTAGAAAATAAAAATTTACATTTATTTCATGCAGTTACTGAATAATTTGCCTTACGATTTGCTCATATGAATTCCGATGGAAAAACCAAAATATACCCCGGTCAATAAGAGGTTAATCATTTTTTGAACTTCTGTTTTGGTATTTTTTTTTTGACCTATTCCTGTTCTTCATTGTTCCTCTGGAAAAATGTAGAACATGTTTTTAATGGTTGTTTTGACAGGAAATTGAATGAAGGGTGGTCTCTGACATCTACACAGTACTGTTTTCTGTAAAAGTGTCACCAGTGGAAAATCCTGAAAATGTTATTCCAAATATGGAATATTTAGAATAACATTTCCAGTACTGGCTCAGTACTGTCCAGTGCTAGTTGGGCCACAGTATCTTCAGCTGCTCTGAGTCGTGACGAAACAAAATGTGAGATTCACATGTACACAATTATGCCTTGCAGTACAGTTTAAAAAAATCTATTTGATTTGTCAGAGCTGAGACAAGCGGTTCAGTGTCCAGCTGCCACAGTGTCCAGCTGAATTTGAGCCAACCCAAGTCACGACTGTGGTATTAGAAAATATCAAGGTGTAGTTCTTTTCTTAAGAACTCGATTCAGTCTGCTGCTTGATAGTGCCTGCTTTCCAGTTCTTGGTGGATACTTCTTAAGCAAAGGTCAGTCATTTTGCTTGATTTTCCTTGTACAAATTCCCAACAGGAAGCTAATATGTAGGGTTGTGGGGCCCTGCAGTTCTTGAGCTGACCGAATAGCCTGCCACTGACCATCTGTGTTGCACAAAGAAGGCTGTTATTCCCATGCCCTGGTCTTTCCTCTGCATGTAGAGATTTGGAGGGGTTTTATAAGTGTCTGGGTTAATGATGTTCACAATTTACTTGCCAGGGCGTGAACTTTTCCACAGAGATGGGAACTGGGTGGACACAGAGTTGGAAGGAAGAGTGGAGGGTTGGGAAACTATATCTTTTCCCTTCTACACCCGAAGTCCTGCTTCAACCACGGGTGAGTCTTCTTTTGAATGGGATAATAACAATAGTCATTTGTGAGGATTACTGAACAGAGCTGCCTTGTGTTTCTCAGTGGAATATTCCTCCATCTGTTTGGCTGCTCTACCGAAGCTGTACGCTGGCCAACATAGTCAGCTGGTGTGTGTACACAGCCCTGATCTTCAACACACCCAAGTTCCTGATCTTCCTCAGCCACGTTTCATACGTACTCCTGGGGCTCTACTATCTTGTGGCTCTACTAAACCTGGCCTGGGCTTTCATACATGTCAGGCTCTTCTGTCGAGAAAGGGGAAGGGATGTCGCCATGGGTAAGACATGTAATGAAGACTGACTGCAGTATGTTGTGGACAGGGTTGGGCAAAAAAAGTGATGGCTGAAAACTGAATACACTGTCCTGAATGTATTCAGTAATGTATTCAGACAATATTTAGAATATACACCGACCAGGCATAACATTATGACCACCCCCTTGTTTCTACACTCATTGTCCTTAAAATTTAGGTATAATTTTAGTTCTGAAACCTGTTTTTGCTAAGACTGTTTCAGTCCACTGCTGCTCCCACAAAAGCCCCCAAGCAGGAGTCCTGTACAACACCAATGCTGGCAAACATGTTTACTACTGAAAAGATTATTAGTTTGATCATCCCTCAACAGAAATCAGTAACACTGAGATTAATAACTGATCACATTGATTTATCAGTCTACTCAGGTTTTAGCAGAGCTCAGTAACACTGAGATTAATAACTGATCATCACATTGATTTATCAGTCTACTCAGGCTTTAGCAGAGCTCAGTAACACTGAGATTAATAACTGATCATCACATTGATTTATCAGTCTACTCAGGCTTTAGCAGAGCTCAGTAACACTGAGATTAATAACTGATCATCACATTGATTTATCAGTCTACTCAGGCTTTAGCAGAGCTCAGTAACACTGAGATTAATAACTGATCATCACATTGATTTATCAGTCTACTGATTTATCAGTGTAAAGAAACTGTTAATTGAGGTCCTCCGTAGCATGTGTCTAACGAGCATGTTTGCAACATGTGCACAGATCCTAGTTCTCTAGTTTTTTTTAGTGGGTAAGTATTCTAAAATATTTTCCTAAAACATAAGAAGGAACTGTATTCTGAATAATGCCTTTACAAAATGTAAGCTGGACTGAATACAGATAGTTAATTTCTGTAATCTGAATATTTATTATCAATACTTGTATTCCATCACATCCCAGCACTGGTTGTGGATAGAGCCGGGGTTCTTGAGTCCAGTCCTGGGGACTCTATTACCTGCCCCAGCTCACCAGCTCAGGAAGGGCTTGAAATTGGAGTTGTGACCAGTTTGATTGATGAATGCACAATGATTGATTGCTTAAGTATTATAAGTATTGGCATGGTATGCGGCTAAGAGTCCTTTATTTTAATTATTTAGTATCACATATTTATATGTTTATAGTATCACAAGGGCAACTTGTTCAAAGCCATTCAGAGTAATTTGGGAAACATACTGAGCCAAAATTATTCACAGTAGTGGTGATAGGAACCAGATGTCTGAAGAGTTTAATTACTCTTAAATTTTCCTTACAGAAAAGTATTACATGAAATGGTGGTGAAGCTGCTGTAAAGTCTGAGACATTTTTCCACTATAGTTACTATAACCTGAAACATACTGAATCCTTTAACTTTAATGCATTCATGGTGGAGAAATACAAGCAGGATGCTGTAAGGTAAAATACGTTTTTTTTTTAGATTTACCACTATTTTACTATTATCAACATTACATATAAAAACTCAGAAAACATATGCTGGTACACTGGTGGTTTTGGATAGTAAATAAAATGTCTTCATTTGCACTGTAGACACTGCAACCCCCGGTTCCTATCACCACCACTGTAAAGAAATCTGAGTTGGTAAGTTTCTCTAAAATGAACCTTTTCACATCAAACCATTCTGAACATCTCTGACATCTCAACCACTAAATTATGCAGAATTTTTGAAGAATTGGTGGATTTCCCCTTTAATAATCAGTTGATGAACTGGATCAGGTGTGTTGGGGCAGAGAACTGTCACAAGGTCAGAGGGTTAAGAAACACTGGACTGCATCGTTCTTATAAACTAAAATATGACAATCTTGTGAAAACCATTAATCAAGTCCTCCCTTTCACTAGGTGGCAGTGAGGAGTCATTTAGGACATTACCTCTCCCAGCTCTGCTGGCCTTGGCCCTTTCCCTACAGTGGTTCCTGCATGCTGTGGTGGGCTCTTTCTCCCTCTGTGTGTCTTTCCTTTACTGGATCCTGAGCTACCCCAGCACTCAGCACGTTCTCACTGCCTTCAACATCAACCTCCACCTGATTAACAGTGTCCAGATCATCCTGGACGTCCTCCTGTCCTCCACGCCTGTCCATCTCTACCACTACCTCTATGCTCTTCTAGCAGCTGCCCTCTATGTGGCGTTTGTTGTTATCTATTGGCTGGCTGGCTGCACCAACCTCGGTGGACGACCCTATATCTACAGTATACTGGACTTTGGTGGGCGCCCTCTAGTGGCAGCATCAGTCACGCTGGCAGTTTGCCTGCTGGGCTTGCCTGCCTTCCACTTTTTGCTATGGAACCTTCAGCTCCTCAGGGAGAGGATGGTGGGAGGCAGCAGGGGGAGCAGAATGGCCCTAACAAAGTGGGTCTGGTGGTGGGTGAGGGTCGGGGGATGTCCCATTTCTGAGCTGGTGTTTTCTCTTGACCCAGGATCCTCTGTGTTCGAGACCTTACGTAAGGAAACGATAGAGGAGATTCCATAGTCATTACTTGTCACCGCATGGCATACTGAGCCCATCATGTTCATAGTAGCATCAAATATGTTAAAACAGAATATATTTTAGGATGCTGCTCAGTTCTCTGTGGTAATCAGAACAAGAGCCTTAAATTCCACTTCTATGCTCTAATCAAAAAAGCTACATAGGCCTTTCGGTCTGGGATCTAGCGAGGAAGCTGAGGACAAAATAAAATAATTCTGACTCATATAATGTTGACTGTAGAAGCAAGCATGTAGTTGCGGCAAAACAACCACTAGAGGTCAGTAGTATCCTGAAATATCCCATACATAGTCATAGGGAAAGAGAGTTCACCCACATGCAGTTTAATATTTAGCATGTTTTGATGTATTCAGTGATGTTGAATAATCAGAATTGCCCATGAAAGCCTGTACCACTAATCTGGGAGTAAATCTGGCACATGTTTACATGTGTATGAACCAGAGGTTCTCAGTCCTCGTTCTGGAGTCATTCTGTCCCACATGATGTTTTTCTGTTCTAAGGCTTTGTTCAGACAGGCTGCTGAAATCTGCTCTTACAGAAAAAATAAGTTTCACATGTGGTTGCATGTTTTTACATACTTCATGCATTCATATCGCTGCTGTTGGAGCAAAACCTCATATCTCCAAAATGGTAACTTTACAGGAGAAGGAAAAAACATACTCTACTTTTAATGTAAGTCAGTGGAACCAGACTTTTTTTCCATGTCAGTTTGGGCCATTTATTTTGGTTCATTCATCATGAAATTTACACATAGTGTAAAAGGCAACAGGCATGAGATACAAGGTTTTGTTCCAACAGCCGCGATATGAATGCATGAAATATGCATTATTCAATTTGAGCACAAGAGATTCTGGAAAAAGCCACATGAAATCCAACCTTTTCCAATCAGATTCAAGCCACATTTGTATGTGGTTTCAAATTTGATTCAAGTCATAGTTCTGGACATCTGACTCAGCCTGGCCAGTCAGTCAGATTTCATGTGTGTTTGTTCATCATCTGGGGCACAACTGTGAGATAAGAAAGCTGGTGGTGCATAGAAAATATTTTTTTGATACAATACCTTAATTTTCATACCGATTCCAATCAAAAGAATGTGTAGCTTAAACCAGAAATGAGTATGAGGTGCCAGAAGTGGGTGCACACGACTGACCACAATGGGGCGCAGACTAATCAGTCAATCCTTACAGAACTGTCACATATATTTCATGCGTGAAATGTGCAACAAATGTATGTTTACAATCACACATTTTTTAATATGTGAACACATAATCAGATATGATCACATTTTTTTTTATGTGATACATTTTTAACATGTAAAGTGTGCAAAAACCATGTTAATCCAAATATGAAATTCATGTGACTTTTCTCTAAGGGAAGAAGTGCTGACGCTAATAACATGCAAACATAATGTAATGTAGACAGCCAATCAGCACTCTAGGCTTTGGAGCAAGCATACCTATTGGCTCACAGATGCTAAGACCAACTATTTATGTAGTGAAATTCAGTACTGAATAAGACTTGGTAGTACTAACCTAATTCGGGTCAGCACTGTAAAGGTATTGAATTTGGATACCCAGCTCTCATGATGCACTTTCACATATTATAGCTTAAACATGGAGAGCTGAAGCTTTGAACAGAGCATTTTTTTTTCCAAGACCTTTTTTTTGAAGATCATATTAGCTAATGCTGTCTACTGACCAGGTCAGTCTACTCTAATGTCATCCCAGGGGAAAAAAAAATATTGTATTAATAAAGGATCACTAATTTCAGAGATCTTTCTCCAAACCCTCATCAGGAGAAAAGAGGAGATTAGTATCAGCGTTACACTGTAAGAAATTCTGGTGATGAATGAGAAAACAAGAGCTCTCCTCTGTCTTTCCTCTGGTATGTTCTGTTCATGTTGTATTTGGTGAAATGTTTAATGCTGTTGGAAAATACAGTGTGATTGTACTTTCAGAGCTTTAATCTTTAAATGACAGGACTTATCAACATGTAAGTTCATAAATGCAGCCTGTTGTCTATGTTTTGCCTGGCCCTCTCTAATCGTGCGTGTCGTGTCATTACTATGGTAACCGATGTGGCTATGCAAGCAAATGTGACCAGAGTCTGACGACATGAATCAGATTTAGTCCTTTCTAATTTCAAATCTGAACACTTACATCAGATTTAAAAAACAAATCAGATTTGTCCTGCAGGTTTGTGGCCCAGTTCGAGCCCCATTTGAGCTGCTTTAAATTGGGATATTCTAATCCTTTCAGTGTTTGTCTTTGCTGGAACACAGCTGCTCCGTCACGTCTTGGGTGTCGTTGTGCCAGTTGCCAGAGACGACCGCGATTGGTCAGAGTTCATGTCGCCTTTTGCAAAATCGAACAGAGGGCAAATAAAATATTGTTGTTTAAACTTTACTGGGGTTCTATATTTGCTAAAAGTCAATTTTTTAGTATGATGTCTAAACATAAATAACGTTCCAGAATGATAAGATCAGTTAGCTAACCTGTTAGCTTTTCTTAACTTAGCTGCTGACAGTTAGCTTGATCAATCAGTCGAATAAGGAATTCGATCAGATTAAACGATACAGCGCTAACATTTGTCAAACATGTATGTCTGAACATCAACATCCTGTAAAGCCGGTTAATTTTTGAATGAAAAGGTTTCAAATGTTCTTCTCTGTGCCTCTAAATCTTCCTCTGTGCGTCTGTTAGCACAAGTGTTAGCTAAAGATGCTATCAGGTAGCCAGAGCTGATGGTTTGATGGATGTTGAAACTTGCTTTCAAGAGATGGACGGTAGTTTTCTCCGAAGAGAAACTCGTTCATCCGACATGCGTGTTCATCTTGTTTATAAGAGACATTAAATGGCTGTTGTATTAGATAGACAGATAGACAGATAGACAGACAGATAGATAGACAGACAGACAGACAGATAGATAGACAGATAGATAGATAGATAGATAGACAGATAGATAGACAGATAGATAGATAGATAGATAGATAGATAGATAGATAGATAGATAGATAGAAAGAAAGAACTTTATTGATCCTGGAGGGAAATTGCAGTGTTTCAGTAGCAAGACATATAATTTCACATAAACTTACATATACTATGCAGAAAAATAAAAAAAAGAAATAAAAATAGACGTAAGTTACGTATAAGAAAATAAATAAAGTATATCTATTTGCATATTTACATAGCATATGAGACAGTTGTTGTATTTACATGATAGCAGGCACTGAGTGGTGTGAGTAAACTAAAGGCACAATGAGCTAGTCGGTGTCTGTCGGTTTTGGACAAAATGAAGCAGAAATGAAACGTGGCTTCACCGTACGTGGTGAAAATGTACTTTACCATTACCATTTATTAGATTTGCAGTGTTAGTTGATTTCGTTGACAAACCCGTTGGCTTGTTTCCTCTGCCATGATGAAAATAGCAGCATAACTTGGCTAATTTACTGCATCGAAAATTTCGATGTACCCTACATCATCTTACTCGGAAGGGTGTTCATGTGGTACCTCCTGATGGGGAGACTAATTTTTCCTATAACGTTGAGACCACTTCTAAAAAAATTTGCAAATGGTCAAGTAGTTAGCGAGCTACTTAAATTAGCTTGCTAACAAAAGTGCTGGTGGGGTAGTTCACATCACCATTAGGCAAACGTTTATTAGAGCAAATAAACTGATTTAAAGAAGGTTTTCTGTTGTTACATCATTACATAATACTGGATAAATATGCGTGTGTTAGCTAGCTAACTAATTGTCATGGTTGGGAGTGTATCTTTGCAACTGTAGCCTAACAGGTTGGGAACCATAACCCCAACCTTAACTTTCTACCACACATTAATCTGAGATGCCTCACCAGCACTTCAGCTCGGTAGCTAGTTGACTAATATTTGCCCAAACTGGAGCTTCTTCTGCCCAAGCTGAGGCTTTGCCCTGCCTGGGTTTGGTCTGCAGGGTTGTATAATTAGCAATGGTACTTCTTGACCAAGACTGAGAATCAGTGGTATAAATCATCTCAGTGATGCTCAGAAATAAACAACAAATTGCTGAGAAATATTGTTATGATTACTATTTTTACTATCCTGATTATCCTGATATTATAATTAATTAATTAACGATAATTAAAGATTTAAACCTCTGGCTCCTGCGCACAGTGTCAGTCAGTTTTGCCATGATGGCATGATGTCCGTTATGCTGGGGTTAACATCGCTGATTATGATTGACCGCCTAATGCTGTCTCCTCTGCTGGCTCTGCCTGAGAACCCGGCCAGCCTTTCTGCCTGATGCCTGTTGATGAGTTGCTGATAGAACTCATTGCCCTGGTGAGGAGGATCATGACAGGAGCACTGTTTCCCCCTGAGTCACTGCTGTTGTTTTTGGCTTCAGGTCAGTTTGACCTCTAGTTAAGCAAAGGGCCTCTGTGATTGCATTTGTTTTGTATGTGCTTGCATGTGTGTCTAAAGGCTGGGAACACTGAAGAGCAATCAGGGTAGAGCAACAGTGCACACACGTTGATTCACCTGTGTGTTTAATCATTCAACTGATACCGAATTAAACTTGGTGCAATGACCTTTTTTTTTGTGTTTGATTTTAAGGGGTGATTCTTTGGCTCACACTGCACATGTGCAATACTCTCTGTTAGCCAAGGTCACGCTATAAATAACATTATTTGTTCTTTAATGAGCTGAACTGTCATTTTAAATTCTTCAATGAAAAATTAGTTGCCCGTTTAAATAACATGAATTCAATAAAGTGGTACATTATAAATAAGAGGTGTCTGAATATTTAGAACAGTGAGTCCTGCATAGTTATGCTACTACACTTCGGTACAGGTGTGGCAGCAGCATTTAAACACAGTACAAATGCACTTATCTGCCTCATGTTATTTACATAAAAAAATTATAAAAAATTAGCAGATTCAAATCTTGGCCGATTCCCTAGTAAGAATAAATAAGACAAATGTAATTGGTTATAATATTATATGATGTAATGCAGGCTTGACTCAAATACTTTCCTGCATATTAATCATATCACCTCAGAGTTTGCATTGTGTCGATACAAACATATCGCTGCTCTCAGAGCAAAATCTCCGTTTTTGTCATTTTTCAGTTTTTGACATAATTTGAAAAGGCCTGTTTCTCTTTACATTGGGTTTAAATTTCATGATGAATGGATCAAAAGAAACGACCCAAAATTACTTAGATAAAGTCTGGTTCCATTGACTTACATTAAAAGTAAAGTATGTTTTTTCCTTCTCCTGTAAAGTTATTATTTTGATAGAATTACACACCAACACTGTAGTGCAGTGAATAAGTGTTTGTGGAATTAAATCTCATCAAACCAAACTGGTCTCAGCTAAGGTCACCTGCACTGATCTCCACTCTCTATGAGCAGTTTTAACTTTGTACACTTAGCTTAGCATTTTACTGTGATATTCAGCTTTACTGTGATATGCAATATATTTTGTTTCTTCCCATCACTGAGCACTCCAGGAGGACGTGATTTTAGATTTGAAAGGGTTGTATTTTGCCTGTGATATAATTCTGATGT